ATATATCCCATGTAGATATAAAGCTTGGATTTTATATCTTTTTATTAAAAATCTGTACGTTTTATAAAAGTTTTTCTTCTTGTTTAGACGTACTGCCGATTCATTTAGTTCGAATTTGCCCCGTGCATTAGATATCGGACTTCCTCTTAATAAATCAGATTAGATTAGGTTCGGACCTTAGGGGAGGCGCCTCATCAGTGTATAAAAGCTGCACGCACGTATGCCAACAAAAAGCACGGCAACTCGTTAACCGAGCAGGCGATCTGCGTGCGGTGTCCACATAATACCGCGCGCTCCCTATACTGACATGCTTCAGCGATGACGCTGTTAATGTTCCTGTCCCGGCCAAGGAGAACGCGCATGGGAGCGAGAAGCAGCGGCGGCGGAGGTGGACCGGTGAGATCAAGCGGAAGATCCTGGCGGCGACGTGGACGTTGAAAAGCAGAGGGAGCAGGCGCTGGAGCCAAAGGTCCTGGAGCAACAGGCGACGCCGCGGCGAGAAGGTGCACGTGCACCGATTTTGCAGAGTGACAGGAGCCCTAGCGATGATGGCGCACCGGGAGGCCATGGCCGTGGCCGTCGACGGCCGACGTAAGAGGAAAGGCCTCAGGGTCCGCTTCTGACCTCCCTCCGCAGGAGATCAGCGCCGCGCTGCCAGTGGAGCCGCGGTTACCAACTGGAGTGCTGGGCGAGCCGCCGGAGAGCTTTATGCACTCGGGTGCGGACATGACTCGCTGCGTTCTTGATGTCCGTCATCGCCTAGAAGAGCAGAGAGTAATGGATTAGCGCCACGCAGGTCGACTGAGAACTTGTCGCCTGCTGGACGGAGGAGAAGGCGGCCTGCTCGCGCCGCCTGAGCTACCTCAGGGACTACTGTCCCTTTCAAAGGGGAGGAAGAGGAGGTGGGGACGAGGGGAGCGAGCTGGAGACGACGACGACACGACTGAAGGCAGAGCCCGGTCACGCGGAGGTGCGGCCGGTGAAGACTAAACTGCCGTTCCACAGTCCGGAATCGAGGCCGAGTTCGTGAAGGCGATTCGTTCGAGGTACCTGCTTAAGGTGAAGGACGACTTCTTATTCCGCCATGCATACGAAAGAAATCGTGCTCGAGCAGCAGAGCCTGATGGCCGCCGGTGAAGGTAATGTTGTCCAGGAACTGAAGGTTTAGGGAAAGTGAAATAGGATGGGGGATGGCCGTGGAGGACGGCGCCGATGAGAAGCGAGACGCGCCTCTTCGTCTCAGCTGAAGCTCATGCGCATGAACACGTCTTGTGAATCACGGCCGTTCTACTTCTACGGGGATCGTTCTCATTGATTTTTTCCCATCTTGACAGACCCGTTTGTTGGATCTTCACTGCTCACGTCACTGTGCACTAAGCTTCTCTCCCAAAAACAACTGTACTAGAATAGAAACCGATAGAACATTTTTTTTTAACTTCTCCAGCTTCCGCTTCCCCACACCCCAGCTAGTCTAGCAAAGGAGCATGTGAAGCTCAATCAAACACTGCCAGTGTCAGTCCTTCGCCGGTTTTGTGAAATCTCCCTCATGCAGCACTGTTTAAACAGCAGCAGCCAACTGCAATTAAATGCCACCGAACAGGCAAAACAGAGATATCGAAGAATTGGCTTTGTTTGTTTCATGTTTGAGATGAGATGATTCCTTCGTGGGTGGACTTCCACATGCATAATCCTACGATCGTTCTGTCTCTCACTCAAAAAAAAAAATCCTACGATCGAGCATGGAAAATGGAATAGCCAAAATTCTCTCTAAAGTGTTCTTTCCAGTCAATCTAATCCCACGTTTCGAATTGAATCATAATTTGTGCGTGTCTATTTATGTGTTGGCCTCCAAAGATTTTTTTATAACGCTTTACTGCAGTCAGGGGATAAGGGTTGGACGGGGATGATTGATTAGGGCGATGCAGTCAGGGGATAAGGGTTGGACGGGGATGATTGATTAAGGCGATGCAGTTAGGGGATAAGGGTTGGACGGGGATGATTGATTAGGGCGATGGGAATTTGTTTCAGCACAACGAAATTTGACTACAATTATTTAGTTGTAAACCAACAATCAACCGATCAATAGATCGACCACAAAAGAGTTCCCATGGTCATGATCCGATATCTTAATAATCTGGACCTGATCATCAGTAAACTGCACAAATTAAAACCTAATAACTAAATTACATTCCATATATCATGAACTGGACCTGATCATCAGTAAACTGCACAAATTAAAACCTAATAACTAAATTGCATTCCATATATCATGAGCTGTAGTGTAGAATTCCGAATTTCTGATCCAGCAGTTTCTCATCCTAGAATCCTCACCGCAGGCCAAGGCCACACAAATTGGTCAAAAAAAAAAACTACATCCGACCACGACCCGCGCAGCATGGTCCGCTGCACCTTCTGCATCGTCAGCTTCACCCCCCCCACTGCACCTTCTCCATCGCCCCCACGCTCCACCTTCTCCATCATCACTTCGTCAGCTTCACCTTCCTTCTGTAAGTGCTTCAACCAGGTTACAAACCACTTGCACCTCCACACTATGCATACGGTCATGGAACATGCAGCCCATTTGCTTTGCTTTTGCTATAGCTACAGAAATCTCAGCACAACTGAACCCTTGTCCTCAGAAGAGGCTTTTGCTATAGCTACAAAAATGTCAGCACAACTGAACCTTTTTCCTCAGAAGAGACCTGGATCAAGAATGTCCACTCAAGCAAGTGCCTGTAAGACGATGAGCATAGAGAGCATATGATCACTTATTTTAATCATCACCATTGGCTAACACTAACAAAATAAACATTCAGTTCATCAGAGAGTTGAACCACACAATTACTCGGTCCTCCATGTCCTCCCTGGTGGGTGCTGATCCCTGCAGATGGACATTCCATTACCAGACATACCCGAAGCACAAATGAACATGCCTTTGGAGTAGCATACAGAGGAGCAACCATAGAGCCACTCTTCACCTCATCATTGCCTCCAAAACCAGAAAACTCTAGGAAGGTATGTTGCATAGATTCACCAATAGTCATGCGGAGCCACAATCTATGATGACTAGATACGCTCCACAGAGATATTTTAAAGCTGACGCCCACTGGTAATCCACAAAATGTATTGTAATGGGTTTCAGAATTGTTATCACAGACTCGCAACCCTGCATTTATCACTTTAAGCATTCCAAAGTCTGTTGTTGGTTTTAGACGGAAGAGTTGAAACAAATTGTTAATGCTGCCAATCAGATTATCGCCAGTAGGGCTGGTATCACAGGCCTTCTTAATTTCTCTACTGAAGTCAGACAGTTCACAGGACCCATCAGCACACAGATGCTCTAAGCGATTAATTACCCAAAGCAACTTACCCAGAACTACCTTGGAACAAACTGCAATCTTTGACAGTCTAAATAAATGAGCTATCAAAGAAAGCTCCAACACTTGGACCTCCAATACTCTATTTAATCCAACATAACAGTATTCCATCCTTCTTACAGACATATCCAACTTCTCCAGTAAAATATCAAGTGACGTTAGGCCAAAAGTATAAGGATTGTCCAACTGAATCAACTGCCATATTTCAACAATGAACAATATTGCATCAAGATACTCACTCAGAAAGCTCAAGAATGCACCAATTGATCCAGAAGAATTTTCTGCCAATAATCTTAGCTCTTCTTTGCATGTTCTACAATCAAGAAAAACTGAACTCAAAAGATATTTCACAAGATAGACTATAGAATATATCCAATGTTACCTTGGGTTGCAGTGTTTACCAACACAAGGCCCCAAGTGCATAAAAAATTGAACAAAAAATATGGATGGATATAGCATGCTATCATCGACCATCATGCAAAATTTGGGACTAAACTGTGATACTGGATATGCACTCGAGTATATAGAATGGTTTGGTTGTGTGCAAAAGGAAAAGAAGTCATTAGTACCTCAAAATTGACCGGACTTCACAAACATTGCACGGCATTCTCATAGTCCAGGATCCTTCAACTATTTCTAGTATGGATTTCATGGATTGCATTACCAGAACTTCATCTAGACACTTGGTTTCCTTTGCAGTATTTTCTACATGGGCACCAATTTCCACTTTTTCAACATTGCAGCTTTCAGACTCTCCAAACTCTGCTGATACTGATCTGTTTTCCCAAAATGGCATTCCACCTTTATGACACAAGTAAGATAAAAGTGAATCCTGACTAACCTCTCCTCCTAGTGCACACGAGACCTTCTCCAGTAGAGGAATTGCATGTGAGAAGATAATCGAAGGTATGTTCAGCTTCTTGTGCTTATCATCAGAAAAAGGTGCTGAAATAGACACTATTAACAATGCTTTGACCCTTGGTTTGTCCAAGATAAGCTCTCCATCAGATGCCATAGTGATCTATGATATGCAGATAAAATAACATTAGAAAAACAGACCTTAGAAAAGAATGCAAAAGATATGATGGAGGAAATTGAAGATACCAAACACAGATATTGGTGCATCTAACTAGACAGTGGTTACTGAATGACATAGCAAATTGAAGTATAGAGAAAGGTACAACTTAGCAGCATTATTCTCAGATGGCATGCATGTAAATACACTGGAAGTTGGAGATTCAGAATACCTCTTTGGCCAAATGTTTAGCTATGTTAGCTGAAAAGCTCCCATGATTCTTACCAATGGAAAATAGAATACCATATATATCCTGTTCCTGCATGAAATAAATACATCCAGTTAAACCATGAAAGAGTGAATATATTACATGCTGAGTTGCTGACCCATAATAAATTTAAGAGATCTTGAAAACTGTGATGATTGTTTTTCAGCAAAGATGTGGCACTAAGATACCTCTGGATATTTCTCCAAACTTGTAATAAGACCATCAACTGCAGATTTGAATATTTGAAGTTTTGGCATGTTGACTAACCCAAGGATCTTGAGTGCTGCATCTCGAATTAAGGCATTGGCATCAACCAGCAATCCAAGAAACTACAAAAACAATTACATACATAAGGTTGGAGAATTTTACTAGCATTTAGCAAGATCAATAGCAAAGATATGTCTAGATTATTTGGAAGATCCAATTAAGCAGGTACAAATCAATTATAAGTCATTCAGACTCCAGAGAGAGGACTTTCAACAAAAACAGGACTTGAACCTGCTTGATCTTTTGATTATGCATGCTTCTTTTTACTTAAAAGCTGGAGCTAAGGTTGCTTTGTGACAGTAAAATGCACAAGAATCGAAAAACATGGACCCACCACTTTAGGAACTACAAAACTGAGCTGTTTTGACCCAAAATTATATTTTCATGAATGTTTCAGATTCTGGCCAAGTCCATTATCGTTGCATATATGTTTATGGTCGAATGTTGTTCCATATTGTTCCCTTGAAAACCACACATTCAACGGTGCAGATCACTATCAGCTAAGATTCCTCTGAATAATATCTGTGTCAGTACTCTTTCTTCAATACACTGGTACTGGCTTGAGGAACTCTGGCTAGTGGCTACAAAAGATTTTCCTATAATTGCAACAAAATATTTCAGAATAATAAGCTGTGCGATAAGCTGAGGATATAAAAAAAATATATCCTGATACGCAGCTCTCCCGCACGTTCGAGAAAAAAAAAATCTCCATTCTATCCAACAACCTGTGATATCATTACAAGGCATATCTTATAAACAGAGTAAGAAAAATAACTAGCTATGAATTAAAAAGAGTGGCATAGGACTAACATGTGGCATGTGGTACCTAAGGAATGGCCAATTAATTAATATATGCTGATTACTTGGCAAACTATGTTCATAGGTAATACCATATGCATGTGCTTCTCCTGCACACTCAAACATCCATATGTTGCCATATGAAATAGTGCTTCCAAAGTCTGCAGCCTAACAGCTTCCGAATCATCATTCATCATGTCCATCAACAAATCCAAGGCCTTCTCAGTGTACTGAGTAGAAAACTTTGCTAGTGCTCCTAATGATTTGCAAGCAGTTCTTCTCACCTGTAATGTGGAAACAACAATAAAATAAAATAAAATATCAATAAAATAAAATAAAAATATTGCAATTTTAGTGGAAACAATACTGAGAATGACAGAACCTGGTAAAACTCATCTTCAATTCCATGGGAAAAAATCCCAGCAGCACAGGGAATTTTTAGTTTAGGAGGTAATTTTTGCCCAAGTTGATGATAGAAACATCCATACTGTCAGTTTTTATGACTTTCTTATACAGCGACTGCAGCAGAACACCCTCAGAAACTCGCTGCATTTTACCTAGGGCAGCTTAATGCTTCCATTCTCACTTGTGTGCACATGTCCCTAGCCATGGAGCTTAGCTGAGTAGAGAAGAAAGAGGAAGCATAAGCATTACAATGAAACAAAGCATGCTATTTACAGATGAAATGTTTGTATATTTTGTTAAGAAAAATTATAAAAAGTTTATTTTAACACTATAAAAGAAAGTACTTCGATATTAAACATTATTTCAGGATCAACACTTTCACCTTATTCTATCAATCAAAAGGATCTCTGCTGATATGAATCTAATGGTAAGCAGTGGGAAATATGTCTTACTCCCTCAGTCTCACAAAGAGAGGCACTTAAAATTTCTCTCCCACAGAGAAAGACACTGTAGACTGTTTGACACTGTTCAGCACTGTCTATCATTGTCCACCAGTACTTTTGAGGGGTATCCAAGTCATTTTGCTTCATCCTTAATTTGTGTTATAAACCTTATAATCAGCTTGTTCATTGTTGGCTTTCAACTGCGCTTATCACCAGCCAATGTTGTTTTCCTCTTACAACAAACCAACACCAACTTTTCCGCTTTATCACCCTGTAAACCAACCAAATGAATGGCCCAATGTCTTTCTTTGTAGGACGGAGGGAGTATAAGCAAATACAAAAACATCAAATGCTGTTGGAACACGAAACCATGTAAATGCATGCTTATTAGAGAGTGCTTATTTTTACGGCCATTCAATTCTACTGTACTGTAAACCTGTAATACCAACTGCAGCACAAAGTGTGCGAACCATACCTGTAGGAAAATCATGTCCATCAGGTCACCATAGCCGTCGGCATCGAAATCCAATCTCGCTGAAAATTTTCGAGCACACGCGTCTACCTATCCATGGGGGGCAGGAAATTTCCTCAGTATCTCAGATTTATGCCAACTAATTAACCTCACCGAGGCATCCAAGTGCAACAAAATATTAACGAAACGACAAAACCTCACCAATCGCACGACGGCTAACCTGACGCCGTTGTCGTCGTCCCTCATGAGCACCACCGCGCATTGGTAGGAGCACTCCGTGATCGCTACGCTGGCACGGCTGCTGGGGTCGACCTTCTCGAGGACCGCGGTGAGTCCACGGAGCGCCTCTGCCCGCGCCAGCGGGTAAATTCCTCCTGCCATCGATACAAGAGCTCGTACATCCGCCTCGACGTACGGAACGCAGCCGCCGGAGGCGGGCGACTCCGCCGCAACCCTAGGACGTTTGGCGACGGACGGGGAAGGATCGGGCGCGGCGAGGTCCTCGTCGATGGGGCCAGGGTGTTCTCGAGCCGAGGAGGAGGCGGCGGCGGCGGCGGCAGCGGTGGGGTGGGCGGAGGAGAGGAGGTGCGGGTCGCCCATGGGATTGGGAGGCGGTGATGGAACGGCGGAAGAGGAGGAGTAGCGCTCCGGCGGGAAGTGGGAAAGGGCTGGTAGCGGTGGCCTTGGCCTCAGCGGCGACCACGAACGTCGAGCGTGGCGGCGGCGGCGGCCTGGGCCTCGGCGGCGAGCGCGAACAGCGAACGGCGAGCACGAGCGGCGGCGGCCTTGGCCTCGCTGCGGGCGGGAGGTGAGAACGCGCAAAGCGCTGGGAGGTGGGAGGTGACGGAAGGCAAGCTTCCTACGCTGGATCGAGCCGACCTGAAAACAACGTAGTATTTCGTTTCTCGGCCTAGCCCGTGCTGCTTTAACTCCCGTGCGGGACTGACTCCGAGCTGGGCCAGGCAAACAAACAGGCCTGGTGGACCCTTCGGCCAGGAAAACAAACGGCCCCTAAGCATCTCTAACTATTTTGAGCTGGATCAAAACATGAAATGGGCATACATTTTTTTTGTTCAACTTTCAACTAGTACCATTACCGTGCCACCGAGAAATTGATCAAAAACTAAAATCTTGAAGATGTCTGAAACCACACATACGTTTATTTCCCATGTTCACTGCGTTATTTACTTATACTATGCTAGAAGCTTTGAGCAGTACCTCATCTGAAAATCCTAGTGTTTCCTTTAGCTATTGAGGCTAGTTTTTCTTGAATTTTATTTATATTTAATATTTTGATACATCAGTAAATTTAATGGCTTGACAGATTAATTTTGGAGAGAGATATAGAGAAAGTTTCATATAGTTTCATCTAGATAAAACTTGTTATCACAGTCATCAACATAAAAGCTTAACAGTCTTGGTAACTCTGTCATAAAACTTCTCACTCAAACTGGTGCGAGGAAGACTCTGAATTAAAAGAGCCCTTGAAAACCGCAAAGTAGATAGTGCTGGTCAACTTATGGTTGACTTGGTTAGAATAGGTGTTGGTCGGACCACTCTTTTCACGAGGAGCTAGTGTTGGTCAGAGGATGTTCCAAAAGCATCCAATAAAGCTGCATGCATTTGATTCCATCACATTTTATCTTTCATCCGAAACTACATTTTTTTTTTTACCTGCGTACTGAAAGTCTGAATTTTTCTACGTGCATCGGCCGTGAGAGAAGGCTAAAAGCGACCTATTTGGTCAGTGCCTGACCAAACAGCGTATACTGCTGCTGGTAAGACCTAGGGCGTTGAGATACGGATAGGTAGATGGTGATTTGTTCACCACCTCAGGCTCCGCGCCTCCGCCCCCCAGCCCACGTATCAAACATGCCGCGTGACCGCGCGCTCCTCCACCGCTGCAACAAGAAACCAGACGTGCAAACTTGGCGGACCGCGATTTCCAACGAAAGCGGCAGCCGGCAGCCCATACGTGGTGTGCTAGGTTAAACAAGTCATCGACACGACATGCAAGGCAGCTCGCACCTAAGACCTAACAACTTTGCTAAAAGGGTAAGCGAGTCAATTTCAAAATTCCGTAAACTTTGGATAGTTATTAAGGTGCACGTCACATATAAGTAACATATAATGGTAGTCACTAATTCATGTGCAAAATAGCCCAATATCATGTGGTACAAGCATGTCCCCAGCTACAGAACCAAGTTAGCGCAACTGAAACAATCCTGTCTAATATGATCGAGATATATAATGATGAAATATTTAACAATTAATCCTGATTAAAAGGTGCATTGAACAATCTAATAACCTAATGATGTGCTGCTCCAAAAGCGAGTGATTACAATTTGTTTTGCCCCTACGACATTTCTTGACTTTGGCCAACACCTCACACCATTCCCCCAACCCTCCATGCGTTCTTTGGCATACTTTTGCGCATAGCCCGGTGCTCTGCTACGCCGTTGTTAGCTGCCCATTTGGTGAACTTTGGGCGAGGGACGCTTAACCACCTCGCGCGCCAAAACTTGCGCGCACGCAGGCAGTCACGCTGAGGGCGAAGGGAGGAGCTCCACCCACCGTACCCACCGCCTTGACCCCCTCTCCTAAACCCAAGCTAAGCCCTCCGTCTCCTCCTTGGTTCCTCACATCCATGGCCGCGGCAACTTAACCGATTCCAACTAACAGCAAGAAAAAAACCCAGAGCGGGGCCGCGGGCAGCCAATCTCCCTTCACCAACCTAGCGCCGCTTTTGACTGCTCCAGTGAGGAGCTATAAGAATGGTTACTTACTAGCAGTGTGATCCTCAGAGTCCAGGCCAACGCCGATCGAGAACCCGCCTCTCTATCTCTCTCTTTCTCGCTCGCCGCGGCAGGCAGCGAGGTGGGGTGCCCGCCGGCGGTGAGGGGGAGGGGAGGAGCACGTACGTATTGAGCGCGCGCGGCGCCATGTCGCGGTTCGTCGACAAGCTGCCGTTCTTTGACCGGAGGTCGTCGCCGATGGAGGAGGCCGGGGACATCCCGCGCAACGGCCTCCTGCACATGCACCACCACCAGCCGCACCACAGCGGCCTGCTCATGCAGCCGCAGCCGTCGCCGCCCGCGAAGCAGTCGTCGTTCACGCTCGCGCAGCTGCTGAAGCGCGTCAACGAGGCGCGCAGCGACGCCTCGTCGCCCACGTCCTCGCCCACGCACTCGCACTACACCATCGAGCTGGGCGGCTCCGTGCCGGGCTCCACAGGCAGCGACCTGAGCGAGCGCATGCGCGGCGGCGGCGACCGCGGCAGCGACGGGCCGCTCCTGCCGTTCGTGCTCAAGTTCACGGACCTCACGTACAGCGTCAAGCAGCGGAAGAAGAGAACGTGCCTGCCGGCGCTGCCGTTCCGCCGCGGGGGCGGGGAGCCGGCCGAGCCCGAGGTGCCCCGGATGAAGACGCTGCTGGATAACATATCCGGCGAGGCACGGGAGGGCGAGATCATGGCGGTGCTCGGCGCCAGCGGCTCCGGCAAGAGCACGCTCATCGACGCGTTCGCCAACCGCATCGTCAAGGAGAGTCTCCACGGCTCCGTCACGCTCAACGGCGAGTCGCTCGACAGCAACCTGCTCAAGGTCATCTCCGCATACGTCATGCAGGACGACCTCTTGTACCCGATGCTCACCGTGGAGGAGACGCTCATGTTCGCCGCCGAGTTCCGCTTGCCCCGCTCTCTGCCAACCAAAGAGAAGAGGAAGCGCGTGCAGGCGCTCATCGACCAGCTCGGCCTGCGCAACGCGGCCAACACCATCATCGGCGACGAGGGCCACCGCGGCGTGTCCGGCGGGGAGCGCCGCCGCGTGTCCATCGGCATGGACATCATTCACGATCCCATCGTCCTGTTCCTTGACGAGCCCACCTCCGGGCTCGACTCCACCAGCGCGTTCATGGTGGTCAAGGTGCTGCAGCGCATCGCGCAGAGCGGCAGCGTGGTGGTCATGTCCATCCACCAGCCGAGCTACCGCATCCTCGGCCTCCTCGACCGCCTCCTGTTCCTCTCCCGCGGCCAGACGGTGTACTACGGCACGCCACGCGCGCTGCCGTCCTTCTTCAACGACTTCGGCAAGCCCATCCCTTTCAACGAGAACCCGACGGAGTTCGCGCTTGACCTCATCAGGGAGCTGGAGACCATGCCGGACGGGGCCAGGGACCTCGTGGAGCACAACAAGAAATGGCAGACGCGCATGGCTCCCAAGGCGAAGCACCACGACGGGCACGTCGAGAAGCCGTCGCTGTCCCTGAAGGAGGCCATCAGAGCCAGCATCTCTCGCGGGAAGCTCGTGTCAGGCGCGAGCGACGGATCCGTGTCGGTGCATTCGCCCGGGGAGTTGGCGGCGCCGGCGGCCCCGGTGTCGAAGTTCGCGAACCCGTTCTGGGTGGAGATGGGCGTGCTCACCCGTCGCGCGTTCCTCAGCACGAAGCGCACGCCGGAGATCTTCATCATCCGCCTAGCGGCCGTGATGGTGACGGGGTTCATCCTGGCGACCATCTTCTGGCGCCTGGACGACTCCCCAAGGGGAGTCGAGGAGCGCCTGGGCTTCTTCGCCATCGCCATGTCCACCATGTTCTACACCTGCTCCGACTCGCTCCCCGTGTTCCTCAACGAGCGCTACATCTTCCTCCGGGAGACGGCCTACAACGCGTACCGGCGGTCCTCGTACGTGCTCTCCCACACCATCGTCGGCTTCCCGTCGCTGATCGTGCTCTCCTTCGCGTTCGCGCTCACCACGTTCTTCGCCGTGGGCCTGGCCGGCGGCGCCGACGGCTTCTTCTTCTTCGTGGCCATCGTGCTGGCCTCCTTCTGGGCCGGCTCCGGGTTCGCGACGTTCCTCTCCGGCGTGGTGACGAACGTGATGCTGGGTTTCCCCGTGGTGGTGTCGACGCTGGCCTACTTCCTCCTCTTCAGCGGCTTCTTCATCAATCGGGACCGCATCCCGCGGTACTGGCTGTGGTTCCACTACCTGTCGCTGGTCAAGTATCCGTACGAGGCGGTGATGCAGAACGAGTTCAGCGACCCGACGCGGTGCTTCGTGCGGGGCGTGCAGATGTTCGACAACACGCCGCTGGCGGCGCTGCCGGCGGTGCTCAAGGTGCGGGTGCTGCGCGCCATGAGCCAGTCGCTGGGCGTGGACATCGGCACGAACACGTGCATCACGACGGGGCCAGACTTCCTACGGCAGCAGGCCGTGACGGACCTCACCAAGTGGGACTGCCTCTGGATCACCGTCACCTGGGGGTTCCTCTTCCGCATCCTCTTCTACATCTCGCTGCTGCTCGGGAGCAGGAACAAGAGACGGTGAGCGGTTCCCCATCCTGACTTATTTTCTTCTCGTGCTGGTGCGATCGGTGTGCACGGGGCTGTATGTTCCTCGAGTTGTTTATCGCGTGTACATTTGCTTGTAAGTTGTAAGTTTTCGTGGGAAGTTCAAACTGTAACTCGACAATATTTATAAGATGGTTTTCTGTTATTGTTCTCGCGGAAGGTGTTTCAAATTTGCATGAAGAGAATCTGCCGATCTCATTTTGTTCGGGGGTGATCATGAACCAGGCAGGTCTAGCAATAGAAATAGCTGATGGACTCATGGAAAGGCAAAGGCGTGATCATATATCACAGAGAAGAACGGGCGATGGGCACACATCGCTACAAAACTATAGTGCAATTTCATATCTAAGGTTTTCTTTGGTTCTCTCGAAATACTATAATTTCACCGGTATACTTTGAGTCGTGGACTGTGAGAAAGCTGAAAGCCGTTTGGTTGAACAGTTGTGGCTTCCGAAAAAAATTGTTGTCAGGCTCTCTCACTTATCAGCAGACCCCACATGTCATCCACCGCTACTCCTCCCTACTGATCACCTGGTGGATGTCCGACACCGTCCCCTCGCTGGCCTTCGATCGCCGACCTTGTTCTTGCCGACGCGTCGATTAATGCTGCGACGACGCCGAGCCCCAAGCGAGATCTCTCCGGACGCCATGTCGTTCTTGGCCAGCCTTCGCACCTAGGGGAGGTCGACGACCGACGAGCAGACTACGGTTGAGCGAGCTGATCTCCATCTCCTGGTGCAAGACAACGGCCTTGAGGAAAGAGAGTGTGTCCTCATCGTGTTGTATCCGCTCCTCGGCCACCCGGAGGAACTACTCCACCTCCATACACTCTGTCTCCTTCTCCGCCTATTGCCTCAAGGCCTCCCGCAGTGTGGCCACCTCGCCTTCTTCCTCAACTCCGGCCATCGACCGTGGCTTCGCTTTCGTGGATCTTACACGCGGCGGCCTGGGCACACCGGCCGGGGTTATGGGCACCGGCCATAGGGCCGCCAGAATTGGAGAGGAGCGCCGCCGCCATGACACTATTGTGCGTGACTGCGTGGAAGGTTTCACGCGGACGGGGAAAAGAATCGAGGAAAATATACATAACGAGTGACGAGTGGGTATTTTTCGCGAAAACTTGGAATGAAAGCAGGGGTGAGGATGCCGTAAAAATTGCACTAGAAAAAAACTGCTTTTGTTGAAGGCTTTAGGGGCAAGACAACCCCTTTGGTTAGCTTGTTGCTTTTTGAAAGCCAAAGCATATAAAAAAGTCTAACCAAATGGGGCCGCAGAACAGGCAAAGATGCTCCTGACAAAATTTATAATTCTAAAAAGCATTAGAAGCCGCAACTCATCCCCTATCACCTACCTTTTCATCGATCGAGAGACGAGAGTGTAGCAAAGAAGGTTATAATATGGATAACAACATTAAGGATCCCCACCTAACAAAATTGAAAACGTAAACATTCCCATCCAAGCATTCAGGATTCAACTATAATCTGCACTATATCTGGATCGCAAAATCTTATCATGCTTCAAAGAAAAGAAAAGAAAGGTTACAATTTGAACTTGCCACACTAAAACATAACAATTACAACATACAGATCCTACATTTGTATGGTGGAAAACTTGGCCTCATCCTAACTTCTTATACGGCTATACAAACTCTCCTGCCGTGATGTAGAAACATTTTTCAGCAACTTCAAAAGTCGAGTCATGGGAATAACCTCCGTAGGTCCCTCGGGAACATAGAAGCTTTCCGAATATTGTAAGTCCATGATACAACATCACAATCCTTTCGAATCCAAAGACCGAATCCTCCACGAGGAGGTGGAGCATAGATGCGGTATACTCCATCCGTTCTAAAATAAGTGGACTTCTAGAGTTTAGTGAAGAGATCAAAGGTTAGTGAAAATTACATATATCACCCTATAAAGGTGTAATCATTGCATATTGAAAGAGAGAAAGTAGAAAAAGACAAGCGAAGTTAGTTTGTCTTATATCTAGAAGTGTACTTATTTTGGGACAAATTTTGAACTCTAGCAGTGCATTTATAATGGGACAGAGGAAGTATATATATATATATATATATATATATATATATATATATATATATATATATATATATATATATATAGAGAGAGAGAGAGAGAGAGAGAGAGAGGGGGGGGAATTTAGCATCCCAAAGAGGACCCTAAAAATGCAATGTAATAATAAACTGCATATGACAAATATTCTGCACAACGGATGATTGATGATACGAGATAAGAAAAAATAAACTTGCTCGAGAGACTCGATGAAGCCCTTCAAAGGATTAGAATCAATTTCACATTTTTTGACTCATGGTTTGTCTCTGGGATTAGAATATTTGTGTTGCGTACGCACGCCTGTTCTGGCGGAAAAGAAACAGCAACAAAACAAAAACTACATCCATTAGCTATCCATCTTGCGGTCCAGGCTGGTTAACTGACAATAACGATTAAATCTGTTCTTTATTTGGGTACAAAGCAATGATTGAGTATGTATTCTTTGTCATCCAGATATAATTTCTTCACCTATCATTATCAATGATTCTTTTAGAACAAAAAATGGCACATGCTTGTGTTAATCATTCGAAAGAAAGTTGCCCATTTCTTGCTCAAAGGAATGAATTTGTCATAATGTTTTTAGTTACTTCTCCCTCTTATTATCTTTATATTCTAAATTTCACAAAAGCACATCACTTGGCAGTACTATCACAAAACCACACCCGCACCAGATATAACGAATGTCTTTTGGATCGTTTGGGACATGAAGTTTTGCTATACTGGATAGACCTTTGGGAACCTCCTAAAATAAACTCACACAAGCCAAAGCCTAGGTGTGTGCAAACTGAGCATATATATAGATATTCGCTGCCCTGATCCCATGTATGGTAAATATCCACAATGTTAGAAAAATATAAATGCAATGGGCCTCTCAGACAAGAAAGTGGGCCTATGATGTAAGGCCTGTCAAAATAGCATTGCATATATGTGTGGTTTTTAGAAATCATGTGCAAGGGAAGTACAACTTCTAAGTGTGCTTTTGCAATGTCCCCACCTCTAAGTAAGACATCAAATGAGTTACTGTACTGTCTATCCAAACACGGCATGGTGTAGAAAGGTCGAAAGGACAATGGGTATTCATAAAGAATGAAAAAAAATATGTGGCATACCTTAAAAAAAATTACAATGATGATTTATATATATAACGACAATAAAGTAGTTAGTACATTCTCAAATTAATATAACCCACGTACTTGTCATGGACAAGTTGGCCTAGTTTCTTTTCTGCTTCAGTGTTAAGATCATCTATGTAGTTAATTTGAAATCTAGCTTCTTGCCAATAAGATAAATATCCAATCATTATCTAGAAAAAAAGACTACTTACTACTCAGTATTTGGCAATGTCAATTCAACACTTCAACATTACATACCTTTAGCGTACCAATTCCTTCATCATATCTAAGCTTCAATGTTTTTATTCAGATACTGCATAAATCAATTAAACAATTAGAGCTCATCAGGTAGGCACAATTAGATGAAGCTAGCTCATCAGCTAGGCATAGTACCAAATTCAATAGACTGCGCTGTACCTTTACAGGTTCAAATGGATGCTGTCTTTTAATGACTTCAAGATCTTCTTTGTATTTCTCTTCTAGATGTTTGAACAAATTTACAAATAATTCATCGACAATATCGCAGACCTCTGTCATACATTGTCATTGTTACTTCAGCAAATGAATAATTGTATTTTTTTTAGTAAAAAGCAATAGTATCTCCCATACCTCAAAATAGTGGTCCTTTATTTCCATTTCTACATATAGGCCAATGTACTCGCACAGATGACAGTGTGTATTTGATTTCGCTCTAAATACTGGCCCAACTTCAAATACGCGTTTAAACCCACCATGTATGGCCATTTGTTTGTATATCTAAGGTGACTGTGCTAGTGAAGCCAATTGGTTGTTAGTGTAGGCGTCCACAAAGAGATTATGAAACAACACTTAGAACAACCGCACCTTTCTTTGTTCATGCTGCTTTCCGAATTTCCCCGTTCTGATCTTATGCGCGCACAAAGAGATTGGAAGAGCAGGCCTCTGGAACCTATGCCTATCTGTGACACCCGCTCGGGTGTGTGGGAGAATCAGGTTTTTGAGGAGCGCAACGCGCGACTGCTCCTGTTCCCGGTGATCTGCGATGTCTACTGGTGATTGCCACTGCATCGTTTTCTTCCCAGCAAACCAGTACCTAAGGGCTTGTTTAGTTTGCAAAATTTTTGGCGAAGTGGTACTGTAGCAATTTCGTTGTTATTTGGCAATTAGTGTCCAATCATAGTCTAATTAGGCTTAAAAGATTCGTCTCGTGAATTTCGTCTAAACTGTGTAATTAGTTTTATTTTTTATTTATATTTAATGCTTCATGCATGCGTCCAAAGATTCAATGTGACGGGAAATCTTGAAATTTTTTTGCAAAACGAAGTGGAACTAAACGGTACCTAAGCACATCTTGTTCCTAGTGGCTGTTCACGGAACTACACTGTAAACATCTGCCTATATCGCATGTGGTCCACTACTTCACGCAACACACTGTGTCAACAATGTGAATGGCATTGACGATGCCTCCGTCACTGGTCCCGCCTTTGGAGTATACTACTTTACACACTGTTTTTAGTGTTTTTAACACTATATTTGTTATGGTCAATATGTTCATGTATGCTATTATTAATAGATCACATGTGCACATTAAATTATGCCTTAAAATGCCTAAATATCTAACAAAATTGAGGTACTAGTTGATTATGATAAAAAACAATTCAAAACTTTTTTAGAGGTTTTGTTCATGGAAACGGACTCAGCTCTGGACGTGATTGCAGCAATGTGAGGTCTAGAAGGAGCCATTACAAGTCGACTACACCTTGGAGTCGATGGCTATGGACTTGTGCATCCCATGGATGCCCTTTTACGGTTAGAAT